CGAAGTTCAAAGTTCAATTTTTTTGCCTGTCTCTTGCTCAAATTATGTGGACAGCACGCGCTACAGATCAGGCATCCGGCATTGACAGAAGGCGATGCTCTAGGTTTGTAGGTGAAATGATATAACTACGGATGTTCGCTTGGCGATATCTCATTGAATACGGTGTCCCTAAAATCTGGACACAGGAAATCATATTAAATATATATTTTTAACCTCCATAGATTAAACATGTCGAAAGAAGAAAGTTCCTTTTTTTTTTTTTTTTTCCTGGTATATGCTGAAAGAGAAGGTGTACTCAATGCAAGTCACGGATGCAACGCACGTGAGTGAACGCATAAAGAGTAAATGTGTTAAATGTGAAGTTATTGCATCAAATTCACGTGAATCATGCAAAGCAACTGAATCTTTGCATCGCAAATGATGGAAATCCTGTTGAATATGTTATTTGCTAAAATTTCAATTCAATTAAATCAATGTTGGAAATGTAATTTCTTGAAGATATGCCTTTTTGCCAATGTGTCTACACTTTAGAGACGCCCTGTATAAAGAGAAAAAGCCGAAACGAATAGGTGCATTTACAGTGTTTATTTGTTTAATTTTCTGTATACCTAATATCAAGATGCGCGTGTGAAGGTGTATGCTGGGAGCCAAGGGGGCTGCAGATAGATAAGGTTTGGGAAGCATTGGTTTAGTCACATGCAAAATGAAATCCTATGAAAGCAAATTAACAATATTCAATTGTTTAGCATCACTCCACCAAATCTTGCTATGCGCTTCCAATTTTCCACGATATTCAGTAACATAGGAGTAATTATAAGATGATTGGTTCGGTAATAGATTAAATATTACTAGCATAGAGTAATCTTTTCTTCGGTATGGGTGATAGCAAGAAATAATCGTTCAATAAAAAAAATGGTAGGATAAAAGTTAAGACCAAAATAAAATTTGGTTTACGGTAAAAAAAAAAAAAATAGGCGAGAGTTAGGAAAATATGGTCACATTCCAATTCTTCAGCCAATTAAAATGCAAGATACAGATTAAATTTGAAAATGTAATAAGGTTCGTAATTACTAAACTGTTTCAACATCAAAACAATTATATAGTTCATATTACCTTTACTTCTAGGCCTTGTAGGGAAGTGCATCTGATAAAATTAGAAATGCATCTATCTATATAGCTATCAATCTCACATACACATATATAGTGTGGTGCGATGGATAAATTGTCTAAATTATGAAAGAATGAATGTCATCTCATTTTAACGGATATATTATTTTTTAAATACTAAAGAGGAATTGTCTAACAGCCACGACTCGGTACTCCTGCTTGTGTGGCATGGTGTAGAGACCTGTTGTCAGACATAGAGCATCCCTATCTGGCTACTTGAATGTAGGCCTTCCTGTTGAGCCCGAACACCTCACTAACAAATTCGGGAGTTTCTTTTTTATCAGAACGATGAGTGAGTTTTCCAAGCTGCAGAACCTTCGTAATTATCATTAGACCCTTTCCGAATTCTCTACACGTTCTTCAGATTGACACCCAAACACTCCGGCATGTTCGTATTAGAGTTTCCGGCACGAATGCCAATCAGTACAGACTGCCGTTTCTAAATTTTTGGCGGAGTCAATTGCGTCATGGTTCTCTTTTATCCTCCCAGACGGGGACCATCTGACCCTAATAACTGTGCTGTAGACAAAATCTAACAACATAAGTATGCTAAGTTAAAAATATAAAATGGCGACAATTTGCCCAAGGCACCCTGTGTAATATATATATATATATATATATATATATATATATATATATATATTCCAACTTTGACTTTCATGCACATCGCAAACTTCAGGTGCTGAGTTAAAACTGAACGTTACATAATTTAAATTGATACACAAGCACATACACAGGACAGAAAATATTCGTCCTCCGAAAATTTCTCGGACATTCAGGCCGGTAAATGTTGTTTAATACTGATTATTATAAACAGAGAATTTACTTAAATATTTGTATCTATAAAATGAATGTATAAACATAAAAATGTCTAAAAATAATTGTCGGACTTTGTCCATTTCATAATGCGTGACGTCATTTGTTTACATTTGATACGCCATGAGCAGACATGAATGTACGTGAGAGATTCATGGAAGATTGTAGTTTAAAAGCAAAATTCGATCCTCTGTAAAATCTGAAAGGCCCGTCCTAAATGACGGTTCCGTATAGGATACAGGTTCGAATCCTGTCGGGACGAATATTTTCTGTGAAAATTTCCTGTCTGATTACAAACAGAGAATTTAAATAAAATGAATATAAACAAAAAAAAATCGCGAATATTTTCTGTGAAAATTTCTCAGACATTCAGGCCGGTAAATGAATACTGATTATTATAAACAGAGAATTTACAAATATTTGTATCTATAAAATGAATGTATAAACATAAAATGTCTAAAATAATTGTCGGACTTTGTCCATTTCATAATGCGTGATGTCATTTTGTTTACATTTGATACGCCAAGAGCAGACATGAATGTACGTGAGAGATTCATGGAAGATTGTAAAAAGCAGTAAATTCGATCCTCTGTAGCCAAATCTGTAATCAAGCTAAATGACGGTTCCGTATAGGATACAGGTTCGAATCCTGTCGGAGGACGAATATTTTCTGTGAAAATTTCTCGGACATTCAGGCCGGTAAATGTTGTTTAATACTGATTATTATAAACAGAGAATTTACTTAAATATTTGTATCTATAAAATGAATGTATAAACATAAAAATGTCTAAAAATAATTGTCGGACTTTGTCCATTTCATAATGCGTGACGTCATTTGTTTACATTTGATACGCCATGAGCAGACATGAATGTACGTGAGAGATTCATGGAAGATTGTAGTTTAAAAGCAGTAAATTCGATCCTCTGTAGCCAAATCTGTAAAGGCCCGTCAAGCTAAATGACGGTTCCGTATAGGATACAGGTTCGAATCCTGTCGGAGGACGAATATTTTCTGTGAAAATTTCTCGGACATTCAGGCCGGTAAATGTTGTTTAATACTGATTATTATAAACAGAGAATTTACTTAAATATTTGTATCTATAAAATGAATGTATAAACATAAAAATGTCTAAAAATAATTGTCGGACTTTTGTCCATTTCATAATAATGTGACGTCATTTGTTTACATTTGATACGCCATGAGCAGACATGAATGTACGTGAGAGATTCATGGAAGATTGTAGTTTAAAAGCAGTAAATTCGATCCTCTGTAGCCAAATCTGTAAAGGCCCGTCAAGCTAAATGACGGTTCCGTATAGGATACAGGTTCGAATCCTGTCGGAGGACGAATATTTTCTGTGAAAATTTCTCGGACATTCAGGCCAGTAAATGTTGTTTTAATACTGTTTATTATAAACAGAGAATTTACTTAAATATTTGTATCTATAAAATGAATGTATAAACATAAAAATGTCTAAAATAATTGTCGGACTTTGTCCATTTCATAATGCGTGACGTCATTTGTTTACATTTGATACGCCATGAGCAGACATAATGTACGTGAGAGATTCATGGAAGATTGTAGTTTAAAGCAATAAATTCGATCCCTGTAGCCAAATCTGTAAAAAAACCCGTCAAGCTAAATGACGGTTCCGTATAGGATACAGGTTCAATCCTGTCGGAGGACGAATATTTTCTGTGAAAATTTCTCGGACATTCAGGCCAGTAAATGTTGTTTAATACTAATTTTATAAACAGAGAATTTACTTAAATATTTGTATCTATAAAATGAATGTTTAAACATAAAAATGTCTAAAAATAATTGTCGGACTTTGTCCATTTCATAATGCGTGACGTCATTTGTTTACATTTGATACGCCATGAGCAGACATGAATGTACGTGAGAGATTCATGGAAGATTCAGTAAATTCGATCCTCTGTAGCCAAATCTGTTTAGGCCCGTCAAGCTTCGGTTCCGTATAGGATACAGGTTCGAATCCTGTCGGAGGACGAATATTTTCTGTGAAAATTTCTCGGACATTCAGGCCGGTAAATGTTGTTTAATAATTATAAACAACATTTAAATATTTGTATCTATAAAAAGAATGTATAAACATAAAAATGTCTTGAAATAATTGTCGGACTTTTCATAACTTTCTCTTTGTTCTCATGTTCTGTTAATGGCATTCTCAGCATGTCTGTGGAACCACATCAGTATCTTCATTTATAATTTTCTAGCACTATTTTTTTTTTCTTTTGGTCTAAAGAAATATTCCAGTCTTAGCACTTTCCATAATTTCTGGAAAGCCTCATTCGCTATTCCGAAGCGCCTTCGAATCTCTGCAATACATTAAAACACAACTAATGAAGTAAAAAGATCGCAATTTTCTATCTACTCTTCCTTACCTCAATATTTCCTATGTCGATAGCAATCTCAATATTATGATATTGTAGAAAATGTGACATTGAAATCCGTAGGCACACTTGAATAACGAAAGATGCCTTCCAAAAAGCGAAGCAAAGTATTAAGAAGCAGGAAGATTTTCGTTAGAAACAGAACAAAGTGATCACCTGTTATGTAATATCTATCTTACCATATGTCAGTGAATGCGGGACAATCTCATAGGTGAAGCGGAGACTTGAGGCGACAGATATGTTTTATAGAAGAACGCTTACAAAACCACAGTGATAAATATAATGAAATATTTACTTATATTATCCCTACTCTGAGGTATGTTAACCACAGATTAGGGTACTATGCGCGCAATTAATTTTATTTATTTTATTTGGACTGACTGACTGACTGAGAAAGTTAGATAAGTAGACTGGTACACAAGGTGGCAATTAATATATACAAAAAAACTGTGGTAAATATGTATCGATTGAAATAAGTCTAAAATTGAGATCGCATTGTAAATGATTTGGAGACCATTAACTTTCTTATGGTTTGCATAATTCCAAAGCACTGTTCATTTTATTTGAAGCGCGCTAACCCTAAACCGACATCGGGAAGAGAAATGCGCATGCTCATTGTAGTTGTTTTTTTCCGTTGCTGCCTTTGTGAGACGTATTTGTGCCAATCTCACTCAGCAAACCTCTTTCCAATAGTTTTGGGTTTGTTCTTAGTAGTTCATTCTTTCATTTTTTTTTATCTATTGTTGCTTGTTATTAATGTCTTTTTAAAATTTATTTTTAATACATTTTCTTTTTATTTGTTTCTATTCTTTTCAAGTTTCCGTCTTTTTTCGTCTGCTTTATCCATTTTTTCTTTTCTTTTATCCAAGCTTTTTATTTAGAGTTGTTTTTCTCCAATTATAATTTTCAAAATTATTTTCGTTTTTTTTTCTTCATCATCATCCCATTCCTTTATAATTTTATTGCTATCTCTTCCTCCTTTCTAAGTTCTCTTTCAGTTCTTTCCCACTCCTATTTCGTTGAATATATCGATGAATTCTTCAATTTTCTATCGCATCTGGTATTTTCTGAGAATATTGTCATTTTTCGAACAGTCTCCTTTTATTTCTATTGATCGAGAAATATGTATTCATTTTTCCTTCTCTTCAATACTTTCTTTTTTTTTGTCTTTGCTATTCCTTTTTTTTTTTTTGCTTTACAATAAATTACAATTTCTCATTGTTTCTTCTTTCTCTCCCATTTCAATTTTCAGCGATCGCTATCCTATTTTTGAACTTCATTATTCAGTTTCTTTACTTTTACTTCAGTCTAAAATTTCCACCCAATGTATTTTTCATGTTTCTCGCAGTTGGCATTATCTAATATTTAGCATTTTAATTTCTTAAATAATTGTTAATTTACATTTTTCTCCATCTTCTCCTCTTTCTCGTCTCTTCCCCCCTCTAATCCTCGTTTCTTTCTCGTCTCTTCCCCTCTAATCCTCGTTTCTTCCTGTTCCCCGTTTTCCTCGTTTCTTTCTCTCTGTTCCCCCTCTTCCTCCCTCGTCTTTTTTTCTCTTCCTCGTTTCTTTCTCGTCTGTTCCCCCGTCTCTTCCTCGTTTCTTTCTCGTCTGTTCCCCCGTCTCTTCCTCTTTCCCCCCATCTCTTCCCCGTTTCTTCCTCGTCTCTTTCTCGTCTGTTCCCCGTCTCTTCCTCGTTTCTTTCTCGTCTGTTCCCCCTCTAATCCTCGTTTCTTTCTCTTTTAGCCGTCTCTTCCTCATTTCTTTCTCGTCCCCGTCTCTTTTCCTCGTCTGTTCCCCGTCTCTTCCCCTTTCTCGTCTATTCCCCATCTCTTCCTCATTTCTTTTTTTCCCCCCCTCTTCCTCCTTTCTCGTCTCTTCCCCTCTAATCCTCTTTCTTCCTCATTTCCCCTCTTCCTCGTTTCTTTCTCGTCTCTTCCCCCTCTAATCCTCGTTTCTTTCTCGTCTCTTCCTCGTTTCTTTCTCGTCTCTTTCTCGTTTCTTTCTCGTCTCTTTCCCCCTCTAATCCTCTTTCTTTCTTTTTCCCCTCTAATCCTTCTCTTTCCAGTCCCCCCCTTCCTCTTTCTTTCTCGTCTCTTCTCTTTCCTCGTCTCTTTCCCCAGCTTCTTCCCCTCTTCCCTCGTCTCTTTCCCCAGGCTCTCTTTCCCAGCTTCCCTCTTCTCCCCCCGGCTTCTCTTTCCCGGCTTCTCTTTCCCGGCTTCTCTTTCCCGGCTTCTCTTTCTTTCCCCCAAATTCTCTTTCCAGCTTCCCTCGTCTCTTTCCAGCTCGAACAAGGTTTCCCGAAATTCCATTTCTTTCCCTTTCCTGGAGAAGTTAGCTCTCTCGTTACAAAGTCTTTCCCGGCTCTCTTTCCATTTCCCGGCTCTCTTCCAGTTTTTCTCTCTCAAAGTTTCTTTCCTTTTTTCCCGATGTCTTTCCCCTCTCTTTCCCAGCATTTCTTTCCGGCCCTAATCAATTTTCGCTCTCTTCCTGGCTCTCACTTCCGCTCAGTTTTCCCGGCCTGTTCCGGCTCTATTTGACATTCAATTAGAGTAAATAGCTCTCTTCAACTCTCTTTGCCTCTCTTTCCCGGCTGATGTCTCTTTCCCGGCTTAAGTTGTAAGTAAAAATGTACAGAGTTTGTGTTTTCTTTACATTGATAATAATCTCCTGAGTAGATGAGCAATTTTACACAGTGTAATATTTTGAAACTTGTAAATAGGGTCTTCCTGGGATCTTAGTAACATTCTTGTCCCTGTCATTTTGATCGTACACAGATCCACTTATAGATACAGTGTTTTTTTTTTTTACAGTTCCTTATTTTTAATTTCAATATCATCTTTACGATATACTGACAAATAAACTTTAAACCAGTGGCATTGACATATCAGAGATAGTTTATCAAAACCACAAACCAGAATACCATGTCTGGTTAATGGCCTTCTGTCAGTTCTGTTTAGGACCATTTTTCAAAATATGGCGTATTGTACTATTTCAAAGAATATACTGCCTAGTTTTATGTCGATCTTTGTAATTCTTTGATATCAAGATTTGACAACCAGATAATAAGTCGGAAATAATCTGAGCATGTTGCTCAACTATTAGCTCTGGTAATTCCTATTAAATGAAACTTTGTTACTTGGTAATCATTATAAAATGCCTCCATTTCTCATTTTAGCCCACAAAAACGTTGTGTTTATCTGCATCAGTAACTTCTCAGTGCATACTGATTATGTTGTTCATAAATGTTTTGGCTAATTTGCAGTTTAGCACCCGCGCTCAGTTTGCATTAAAGAATCCAGAATACTTATGCGTAATTGTACATGTTCCATTCGAATCTGGCTTGATAAATTTGATAAAATCTATCGTTTTGGAGTTATCGACAGTAAAAGTTCGGATTCATTCAAATCATTGGCGGCAGCCATTACTGGCGTTGCTTGCATACATTCGCCGCGGAAAGCTAAACGCGGAAGAAATAGTTAACGGCTTCTTTTTTTTTTTTTTTTTACTGGTCTTACTTATCTCAACTTTTCTCAATTACTGCGCCAGAGGACTATATAGTGTGCGCAAGAAGCACGACAAATATTCCAGTCATATCTATTCCGCAGCGAATGTGTGCAAACAACGCCGTTAATGGCTGCCTCCAACAACGTGAATGAATCTGAACTTTTAATGTCGATAACTCCAAAACGGCAAAAAATTAACAAGCCAGATTCCAGTGAAGCATGTACATTTACCATAAATGTAAATATTCTGGAAATATGTAATAAAAACTAAAATACAAATTAACCGATGTTTTTTTTTGTTTTCTTAAATCGTGCATGCCTTTTGTAGCAGTTTCCATTTTTATAATCTTTGCAGCATTTGGTGAGTTATTTATTTCCTTTCTTGGTAAAGCAATTTTCTTTATAAACGGATTTATTTAACTTTTTTCATGAGTTAATTTATCTGAATATTTATTTTTTTTAAAATCAATATTTAAGTCAATATAAGTGGGATTAATTCCTTACAATATCTGTTCTAGTAATATAAGGACTGTCAACATAAGCTTCCGGAGGGGGCGTCTCATAGCAAGTCATGAATTTTTCCTAATTTTATGTTATTGAGTGAGAGATTAGCAGACCAAAAATATGATAGCGAGATACAAATGTGGTAATGATCAAATGGCCGTTTCCATAGACCAAAGATTGACCTTTACTATTCGCTGCTATTTCAGTTAAATACCACACTTGATACACACTTGTGCGATCAGTTAACTTTCGATACATGACTGAGGAGGCAGAATTTTTTTTCCTGTAGTAGGTTGCCATTTCATTCTGCGGTAGACTGGTTGCCAACCCAGGCTAAAGAACCCAGTCTGTCCTACTATTCAACCAAAAAGCTGAGATGGTTGGGTGAGGAAGAGGCGTCCTTTCTTTCGCCAGCGTCCTTTCTTTCGCCAGCGTCCTTTCTTTCGCCAGCGTCCTTTCTTTCGCAGCGTCCTTTTCTTTCGCCAGCGTCCTTTCTTTCGCCAGCGTCCTTTCTTTCGCCAGCGTCCTTTCTTTCGCCAGCGTCCTTTCTTTCGCCAGCGTCCTTTCTTTCGCCAGCGTCCTTTCTTTCGCCAGCGTCCTTTCTTTCGCCAGCGTCCTTTCTTTCGCCAGCGTCCTTTCTTTCTCCTTTCTTTCGCCAGCGTCAGCGTCCTTTCTTTCGCCAGCGTCCTTTCTTTCGCCAGCGTCCTTTCTTTCGCCAGCGTCCTTTCTTTCGCCAGCGTCCTTTCTTTCGCCAGCGTCCTTTCTTTCGCCAGCGTCCTTTCTTTCGCCAGCGTCCTTTCTTTCGCCAGCGTCCTTTCTTTCGCCAGCGTCCTTTCTTTCGCCAGCGTCCTTTCTTTCGCCAGCGTCCTTTCTTTCGCCAGCGTCCTTTCTTTCGCCAGCGTCCTTTCTTTCGCCAGCGTCCTTTCTTTCGCCAGCGTCCTTTCTTTCGCCAGCGTCCTTTCTTTCGCCAGCGTCCTTTCTTTCGCCAGCGTCCTTCGCCTTTCGCGTCCTTTCTTTCGCCAGCGTCCTTTCTTTCGCCAGCGTCCTTTCTTTCCTTAGCGTCCCGTTCTTTCGCCAGCGTCCTTTCTTTCGCCAGCGTCCTTTCTTTCGCCAGCGTCCTTTCTTTCGCCAGCGTCCTTTCTTTCGCCAGCGTCCTTTCTTTCGCCAGCGTCCTTTCCAGCGTCCTTTCTTTCGCCAGCGTCCTTTCTTTCGCCAGCGTCCTTTCTTTCGCCAGCGTCCTTTCTTTCGCCAGCGTCCTTTCTTTCGCCAGCGTCCTTTCTTTCGCCAGCGTCCTTTCTTTCGCCAGCGTCCTTTCTTTCGCCAGCGTCCTTTCTTTCGCCAGCGTCCTTTCTTCAGATGTTTATCTTTTCCCCTTAACCCGTCTTTCTTTATTTTATGTATTATATACTTCAACTTTCCATTTCTTCAATTTATCATAATAACCTTAATCATCATCTTCACATTTGTTTGAAATCTAAGACTACTCTCACTGCAATGGTCCTATCACGTCTTTCACTACTCGGTCCAAAGTATATAGCAACTTTTTGATTTTGTTTATTTTTAAATCTCTGAATATTTCTTTCTCTCTCTCTCTTTTATTTTATTTCTTCATTTTTGTACAAATATCTTATCTTTCCACTTCATTTCTTTTTCTGTCTTCATCTCCTTCATTAATCTTCTAATTTTTTTCCTTCGTCTCATTCAACCGAGCCCAGATTTATTTCCTTCCAATATGTTGACGACTTCTACAAATCCAACATTTAAAAAATCTTCCCTCTGTCGTAATTTCATCATAACTCCTTCTTTTTCTGCCAAACTCGACTAATATTAATATCAATATTATTACAACAAATAAAATCCCTACTAATACTGTTAGAAACTTCGCTCCTTTTCCCGGCTACAAGCCAGTACTGACAGACGTCTTTGTTCGTCTTTTCGTTTCACCCTGCCTTACGCTTGATCATCTTTCCCGTTCCAAACCACAAAGACCCAACCCGTTCACATCTCAACTTGCCTTCAGTTTAATTTACGAAACACTAAACTGTCGTCATCGTTGATTGAAAATTCTGCCCGGCCTTTTGTGGTCAACTGAATAGAAATAGTAATGACATTCTTTAGTTTAAAGCGGACAGCCAATATGGCGGCTGTTCTTCATTTTCAGCGCATCACCAAATTTCCCCTTACCACTACCAACGCCTTCCCGTCAGCACAGAGTGATTCATTGCTGACCCAAGACATTTCTTCGGACACCTTTTCACTGTTCGTCGTATACAAAACTATAAAATGTACTGCGGGACTAACCTGGTTTCTTAAGGTGAATAAAGGTGTGAAAGGGAACGGGGATGAAAGCTTTATGGTAGGAGAAAGTGTGAAGTACCCGAGACAAAGCGAAACAGAACACAAAACTGTAGGAAATCACGTGGGAGATTGAGCAACCGTATTTACGGTCGACGAGAAAAGAGACAGTTATAAATATTTCCAATTTATACCTGAGATACTGGCCAACATTTTGTTTCGCTAAGGGCAGGACGAAGGGTTGACTTTATCTATCTATCTATATACTAATTAAATACTTTGTAAGAATAGGGTGTATTATATTTATAATGAGATCAATTTTTATTGCGCTCCTATTGGCTGATGACATACGCCGAATTTGGCGAAGGTCTGATCTTTCTATTTGCAATAGATGAAAAAAAAAGAAGCCGAACATTGGACAGGTTCGCAACGGGGGAGAGATGAGCATTTCGAATTTCTATCTAGCAAATTATTTTAAGGCATTGATCACAAGTAGAATAATGGTTTGCAATAATAGACACATTCTATTTAATATCATGCTGAAAATGAAGCTGCATCCAATTGTCATAAATATGATCTACCTTTGGTATCGGGTGGTATCATCCGCTTATAGTTTTCCTACCCAACACTCATTCATATATATTACACACATACCGGATAAAATAAGTTATGCTAAATTAATGGTTAAGTCTTCAAGACACACTGATCTCAACACCAAGTGGCGATAGTGTTTCTTGCATTAACATAATCTACACACACACACACATATATATATATATATATATATATATATATATATATATATATATATATTATATGCACATTTAATTGAATATGACAGACAAGGCGCTTTTATTTAGTTTTTTATACAATTTCTCTTGCGATCAAATAATTTTTTCTTTTCGGATGATACATTATATAAAAACTGTTCGAATGTTCTTTTTATCCGAGCGCTTTCGGCTATACATTTAGCCATTTTTAATGATTAAATATTTTAACGGTTAAATAAGAAATAATTTGTATGTATGTTTTATAAAATGTTTTCATTTTTCAAAACACGGCCAAGACATTGTGTCCATGTTCAGAGTTACTATTATTAAGTGTTGCTTTTTTTTGTTTTTATTAATAAGTCTTCCATTATTTTTGCTATTTTTTTGCACGTAGATATATATATATATATATATATATATATATATATATATGCGTTGATACAAGAAACACTGGCGCCACTTGGTGGTGAGTTCAATGTCCGCCCTTATATTTACGCTCTCTCCGATATTGAAGAGTTATAACTTTATATATATATATATATATATATATATAGCATAACTTAAAACTATTTTATTACGTATTTGTATATTATATATATAATTGTGTGTGTGGAATCGGTAATGCATCATAAAAATAGTGTATATCGCGCATTAAAGTATTACGAAAATAAAAATGCGATTTTAAACCTACACACACGTATCTTATTGGATCCATGATAGTGAAAGTACTAATGAACATTGTATTAGCTAGGCTTATAAAACTCCTCATGCCTCAATTTGGTTTTCCATCTGATAAGGGATGTAATAATGGCTTATGTCATCAAACATTTAGTTAATTGCATACCTTTCCAATAGAAAATTATATACTTACTATGTCGGCCTCACCATACTATATGATCACATTAATAGACCTCCTCTTCCAGTCATTAGAAACCACCTTCCAAGCACTGGCTCAGCTGAATGTTTAGATCTGATAAAGGAACTCAATTGGTCCACACAATCATACATGTTTGGCGAGGACCTAAATGATGAAATATTTCGTACATCATCATGAGTACAAGGATGAAATTAGTTCCAATTTATTTGATGTGTTCTTAGTCTATGCTATAGTCATATACAAGCGCACATTTGAACAGATTTGCACCAAGCATTTAAACCTTCCAAACCACATACCAAACGAATCTACTAATAGCAAATATCTCTTGTTTTTGCTCCCGAGACCAGATGAAGTGCTTATGACGTAAGATCTCGAACTGTCAAGTTTTATAATAAATACAACGGAAGATAAAGCTTGCCAAAATAAATTATGATATGAAATTGTTCTGAAAGCATTTGATGACACATACTCTAAATTCTTCAAATCTTTCAGGATGTAGAAAAAAAGAAATACAGAAATTTCAAATACATCTAAAGCAACAAAATACTTGGTCAATACAAAAGAAAACAATAAGCTCAAACTTGGAGGAATTAATTCTATCGACTGTAATGATCGTCAAGAAAAAATACAAACAAAAAAATTAAAAACCCAGAAAACTCGAGGAATTTAAATAAAATATAATATGAACGCAAAACGGACATTTTACAGAACAAAACATTAAATGTATTAGCTGCTCATCGAAACGAAACTGATCAATTTTCACATAAAAATTGCTACTATGATTAAAGGAGATAACAATTTACTAAGACGAAATTATTAAGTAGCTTGATTGCTACATAATCCTTTCAGCATTCCTGACAGCGATTTTTTGACAGTGTGTGAAATCTAAGAAGAAAATTGATGGAAAGTAAGAAAAAAGATAACCTAAATAAAATCGGCTAGATTATATACGCAAAACGCATGAAACAAAGAAGGAAAAATTTTAAAATTTAGAAATTCCAGCATCTCTCGCTTGTGCGCATATATAGTCACAACAGCGTAACCAAATTTAGTTTGAAGTCCTAAAGAACGAAACGCGTCACAGGAAAACTTTCTTCCATATTGTCATATCTTTCTCCAAATATGAAATGAAGACAATAGGAAAACTTGATAAAGTCCATCAGAAGACGAAACATATCGGCTAAGATCAGTTTTCTTTTTGTTATTATTCTTATTGTTCATTTACCGATATATCTAAAACAATTTTCGTATTTACCAGAGAGAAATTCTGTATGTCGGTAGGAATTTCTTTTATGTAGGTTGGGTCGAAGAGCAAAGACTTTTTTGTTGATTGTATTTTTTTTATATTCTTTGCACAGAACATTTTTCAAATTTAAACGTAAATGGTTCTACGTCTTCTGAGAGAGTTCGAATTTTTTTTTGTGGGTTGATAGCGTTGTCTTATACAGTATGATTTTTTTTGTGGTCTTGGCGTTTTATGAAGAGGACTTGTGATGTTTTATAGAGGAAAAGTTCTTAATTTCGGAGATAGCGTTTCTATTTATAGACAGATTATAGATAAAGGTATCAACACTTCTGTGTCAGTTTTACGCCTAAGTGCTATCTTCGAACATATAGGTCACTTTGGATGAATGGAAGTGGTGGGAAGAACTCCTCGACCTTTCCCAGGTTTTTTTCATTAGTATTAAGTTATGTATAGATTCTATCTCACTCATATATATATATATATATATAAATGTTTATTTTAGTACCCATCTTATAATGGTATAAAAAACGAATAGTACAGTCTGCCAATAAAAATATATTTAAACAAACTGGTATCTGGGGAAAAAAATTGGAAAAAAAGGAAAAGATTAAAAACATCGGTGTTGGTCGAAAAAAATCGCCCAACACCACAATGCTTAGAGAAAAAAAAAAAAAAATCTAGTGAAATAAAAAAAAAGACGTAAGTGCTCAATCCACTAAGTAGAGCAAATTATAAAAAAATCCTAGTGAGCCAGAAACTACCTACCAAGGTTTCATCTAACGAATCTTCAGGACGAACTGCCTATATATATATATATATATATATATATATATATATATATATATATAAAGAGTCTGCCCCAAAAAGTAGCCTACATAATAAGTGCTCATTACCATAAGAAATAGCAGAGCATCACTATTACTCAAATTGGCTTTTAGTGTATAATATATATATATATATATATATATATATATATGAGATTTTCTTATTACTTTTAAACGTTTAGTGTAAAATATATGAAGCAAACTTAGACACTCCCCCACACATACACCATCTTCCTCGCCATGAATCTCTACACAGTATATTCCCTGTACTATCTGACGGGATTGATTTTAGTCCGTTAAAAATACTTGTATGTTAAACAGTACCCCCCCCCGACAATCATGCTCAATAGTTTGTCCAAAATAACTTAAATTTACTTCTCTTTTTGTAAAGCCTAACTTGAAGTTGTGTTGTTATGAGATAAATAAAAAAAGTGAAATATATATTTATATAAGAAAAACATTTTTTTAATTTTTTTTTTTTTAAATCTATCGAGCTTTCTAAACGTTTAACGTGATGGAATTCATATGCATTTCATAATGATGTCTGCAAAAATAGAGAAAGAAGAACATTTCTAATGTCGGATTATCCTTATATATCCTGATGTTTAGGTCAACATAGTTTTTTTATACTGACAACGGTTCGGCCATTATAGCTTCAGCCATTCTTCATATGTTTGGCGTAGTCCTTTACCTGCTCGGAATTTCGAACAAAGTCCTTTATTCAATTTACGATTTGTTTCCATTCTACTTTCCATGCTCGGAAGATATATCCATTAATATTATTCTTCTCCTCTTCGTCCATTGAACTAGTCTGTATTATTTCCATCTTTACTAGATTCAGGAAACCAGGATTGTTTAAGGTTTAATCCAGTAGGATATGTATGTATTAGAAGATCAGATAGTATAAACCTGGAGATTTAAATCCAGTCTCCAGTGGTGGAACTTTTGAATGTCAGTTCTCTCTTAATTAGAAGCAACCTGATATTATTTATTTTTATCCTAGTTCTACTGAGGATGTTGTAAATGTCTCACGTCTCCCCTGGTACTTTCGTTCTTCGTATCGTCCAGTGTTTTGTCAGTGAAAGGAATGAAGTGTCACAATGAGGAATAAGCATGACATTTATTAACTATTACGGAAGCATGAAAGACGTAATTAAAGTAATGTGTTCCCTAGAAAGACGACAGACACTTGACGAAGGCTGGAAGTTGCCAAAGTTCAGAGAATTAAAATACATATAACCAATATTTCACAAGAATTAAACATTAAAAAAAAAACTTATTTGGGATAATTATTTCAATATTATGTGAAGTTTCCTTTCAAGTTATAGGCAATGACGGCTCTCCCCAAATTCCTCGCCAAGCAATGTTTGTCCCGTTACCATTCCTTCCATTTCTTTTTATTCTGCTGCCCATTCACACAACCAAAAACTCTGTTTTCTCTGCCATTGGTACTTACACTATCTCCTGTGAGTGTCAAATTCTCCAAACCTTATTTCCATATTGTCTATGAAATGCCAGCTGTCTCTTCCTGATCATAAGTTCAAGGATCATTTTTATTCCCATCCTTCTTAAAATGTTCTCATTAATCATATGCTTTGTCTACGGGATTCTTTGCTGAACCATATTACTGTTGTCTCAAATCTCATCATCTTATGCATATAGTTTATCGTCATAACTAGGGCTTAGTAAATCCTCTGATCAAGAGATTAGATGTTTTGAGGAGAGTAGAACCACCTGTTCATTGCTCTTCTTTCCAGGTCCACACTTTATGGGTAAAATATAGTATGTATGTAAGTATAAAATTGGACACTAGGCTCAATGCTAATTGGCGACACTCTGCTACATGATTGAAGGCAGTCATCAGGCCAGTTAAAATATATATTAACAAAAAAAAAATTTCGTATTTATAACTTTTCAAACAAAATTCTCATTTAAACAATTTGAACAAGAACTCTAGCGTCGCAGCATCTCACGCTCAAAAACATATTCAGCTGTCAATAAATAGCATAATTTTAAAAAAAATCTTTCGGTCTACACATATTTCGTCTTAGTGTTTACCTGTGTATGGGAAAATTGCGGCCTGAAGATGACAATTTGAATTTGTCGAAAGTATTTGGCATATGTCTTCTATTTGAAAACATCTCAAATATAGGGATCTTATTATTCAAGGAATTGGTAATAAGTTAATGCCTCATTAAGTCTTGTTTGCGAAGTAATTCCCCCATTAATCACATTGTTATTTAAATCTTTTTATAAATTGTTACTTTGTGATATATAAAATATAAGCTGCACTATCATATATATATATATATATATATATATATATATATATATATACACACACACAAAAAAAATCCTCTAAAAGTATTGGAATGGCAAGGCCAGAATTATAGACAATATCAAAGCAGTTATCTCTCTCTCTCTCTCTCTCTCTATATATATATATATATATATATATATATATATAAATATTATATATACTTTTAGGTGCGGCCTCGTTCCCAATAACCATTACGCCTGGCGTCACTCCAAACATTGAAACATTTCCGGTGAATAACTGGATGTAAATAAAAGAATTCCTCCTACCACACACACAAACATTGGTTCTTGAAAATAACTGAAACAGTCATTGAATATTTTCAGTATTGTTATACAGTGATTTTGGAATTCACCGTACTCTAAGCCTATTAGGAGTCTTGAAACACTAGTAAAATAAAGATTGCACCAATGAGAATCAACAACACCCAACATTCGAAAGATGTAATAAAGACAATTTGGACACAAGTCAACCTGTGCTGAAACCTTGCGACATCAATGTCTTCCAGAGACAAAGCAGCGATCAAAATCAGTTACCCTTGTAAATTATATCATTCACAGATTAGATTAATATATATCTTTGATCGCAATAAATTTAAATTGAGAAAATGTAACTTTCATTGCTTTTGGGTGGGTTTTCAAAGCATTTACAAGCCACTCTATATCATGTTATTTAACAAGGATATGTATGTCTACAATTATTGCGGAGAATTCTTATCTCATAAATGTATATAATTGTACCTATTAAATTGTATTATGCAGAAGATAGTTGACGGCTGAAAGATTTAAAAAAAAAATGATCGAAATATTTAAAGGTAATGAAATCTGAATAGACAAATTTTCTACTTGACCATTTTAGATATTAGCGTTTTATTACATACAGTAAGTCTGCTCAATTTCCTGGTTTTATTGACGATTTGGAAATCCCGTAGGTAGAATGTTCTTTCTTTAGGAGATATTTGTTCAAGTCATTCGAAAGCAAACAAATATGAACACTAAGATCGTTACTATTTGCGAATGAGGCTTTAGCATATAATGCAAATTTTGTAGGAAAAAGAGGATAAAATGTTGCATACTTATCAATTCCAATGACTTGGAGAGAGTTTGTACATTTTGGTAGAGAAACCTGACATGTATGAATGATAAATGAAGTAAGCAAAGAAGAAAAGAAAGAAGAATGAATAAGATGAAGGATGGAAGAGTGAGAAGGACGGAAGGAAGAGAGAATGTTAGAAAGGAAAAAAAGGAGGAATAAAAGAAAACCAGGAAGAGAGAAATAAAGTATGAAGAGAATGAAGAAAAGTGAAAGAATGAAAAATGTGTGTGTGGGGGGAGGGGTAAATAGTAATGAATGACGGTAAGAAAAAGGTGAAGTAATTTATAAAAGAAGAATGAGGAATATAATGCAGACAGGTTCTAGAGAGAAGGAAGGAAGGAAAGAATGAAAGTGGAAAGACAAAAGGGAGGGAAGGAAGGAAAGAATGAAAAAGGAAAGACAAAAAGGAAGGAAGGAAAGAATGAAAGTGGAAAGACAAAAGGGGGAGGGAAGGAAGGAAGGAAAGAATGAAAGGGAAAGACAAAAGGGAGGGAAGGAAGGAAAGAATGAAAGTGGAAAGACAAAAGGGAGGGAGGGAAGGAAGGAAGGAAAGAATGAAAGTGGAAAGACAAAAGGGAGGGAGGGAAGGAAGGAAGGAAAGAATGAAAGTGGAAAGACAAAAGGGAGGGAAGGAAGGAAGGAAAGACCGAGAAAGGAAGAAAATTAGCAGGGAAATGAAAGCAACACTGAATGAAAGAATTTAGGAATGGGGGAGGAGGAAGAAGACATTAAGCATGAAAGGCAGGTAGAATGACATACGGACTAAGGGGTAAAAGGATGGTGAAATAAATGAAGGGAATAAAGACAGAAACGCAAAAAGATGCGTGAAACGGACGAATGAAATCGAGAAGGAACTCGGGAGGAAGGAAAGCGGGTGTGAAGAAAGGATGAAAGAAGCAACAAAGAAATTTAGAAGGGAAAAAATGAAAAATGGGTATGAGGTATGGGAGGGAGAAAGGGAGTAGGCGAGGAAAGAAAAGCTAATAAGTTACCAACAATTCGGTCTTTCAAATAGTTTCGACATCGAATAGAAAACGTCACTTATCCGGGATAACAGATGCGATGAATATAGTTCGGTTAAAATATTAGCATAAAGATGATTAAATTATCGCGTTTCAATCTTTCCTCTTGAAACTAGTGTATCTTGGTAAGTGGATTTATTTAAAAGTTCTCTTAACGTCAAAGTATGATAGAAAATGTTGATGTATGAAACTATTAAAAGTGTATGTTTGTTTATATCCATGTATATATATATATATATATATTTGAGTGATTTTTTGTGTGTGTGTGTGTGTGTATAATATATATATATATATATATATATATAAAATCACCGAAGTTAAGAAACGTGATCAGTACCTAGATAGGTGGCCACTTAAGAATATTTGGCGCTGCCTGCATGTATGTGCTGGTGGTGTCATGGATAGCAGCTCGAAATTGATAATCGAAAAGCCGAGTTCTAATTCTAGTCGGTTTTGTTATTATATATATATATATATATATATATATATATATATATATATATATAATTAATTTATTTAAAAATGATTCCAACGCTACATTAGCATAATTATATTTATGCTCTATTTTTGTATCGAGCACTATTTTTTTTAAAATAACAAAAATACTAAAGAACTTTGGATTATTTACCTAACGAGTTCTTTTCCTATTATATATATATATATATATATATATATATATATATATATATATATATATAGTTTATCAGTTTTTTTTACAAGCTAGACTTTTTAGATTGTAAGGATTTTTTTTTTTTTTTATATAATGATTTTGTTGATATAAATTCTACCCACCCATGGCTATGGGAAGAAGCGAAGGATCCACACCCTTTCCCAAGGGGTACATGTGCGTAATTGAAAATAACAGAACCGACTAGAATTAGAACTCGGCTTTCCGATTATCAATTCCGACGCCACCAGCACATACATACATGCAGGCAGCACCAAATATTCTTAAGTGGCCACCCATCTAGGTACTGATCACGTTTCACGTTGCTTAACTTCGGTGATATATAAACTATTCACTCTTTAATTTTAACGCCTCCAAAAGGTAACTGTCATCTGTTTTGTCTTTCATCAGCATGGCTGATGCTAACCTCCAGGTGAGCGTCTCATTACGCCTATTTGGTCTCACGTTTTCAAATGACATGAAGTAGGAAACGTATTATGGCTCACCAGCTCCGGTTCTTCGAAACTAACTGCCAAAGTATCCGCACGTATTATTATTCATAGTAGTGAAGGCTTATGCAGAACTACATTTTTCGGAAGAACCAAATACATAGAACTCGTGCAAATAGTGAACCACAAAGTCTTCAAAAGATCCTCCTCCAGGTTATGAATTAAGATCTGTTTTGCTACTTAACCATATCTGCAGGAGAAGATATTCAAGAATATTTGCACGTAAGTGAATGTAACGAACTCTAGTAGAATTCGAACTCTGCTCTCTGATTTCTCAATGTGAGACCTTATCTCCGCGCACACACACACACACACAATATCAACGAAGGCAAAATACACATTTCTCAGTCTGAATCGCTATCCACATACACACACATGTACACATTCGTGTTTTCAATAGTAAAACTGGTTCATTGTATTTGATATGAGATAAAATATCTATTTTATATACGCCTCCTTTATAAATATGAACGTGTTAACTGCAAGGTTAGTAATATTGGCATGACGTCTCGTCATTTCCACAAAAATGCAATGGAACATCTGGTTGTAGATAAAAGTCCTAAGTTTCCAACTACCTGTCAAATCACGAACAGTGGAAACAAAAATATAATTTTGTTTCTCTTCATTAACAGGGCGAACACACCATCAAAATTAGCCGTTCAAGTTTTGCATTGCTAAAAATGATTCATATTTTAAATAAACAAGTCCTATATGAAAGTTTTGAAGATGTGCATATAATTTTGTAGAAATATAACCACTGTGTGTTGCATTAATTCTTATTCCTGTCTTTCTGTAAGAATTTGGAATTTCTGAATTTCAAGTTTTAAATCTACTCTGGCATATATACAAGTTGCGGCAGCTATTCTTTAAAACCATGACTGACCAACTTTAAGAAAAAAAAAATCTTGTCTCTTCTTTTTCAGTAGAGTTACGTAGATTTCGACTATAGCGCAGGGCGATGAAAATACATACCTTTCTCGGTTCTTTACCCACTAAGCACACAGATTCAGAGATTTCAGCATTCTTAAATATAGCAAGGTTTTTCGTGTTTAAGGGCTACAGGTCTCTTGCAATAATGTTTACTGGCAAAAAACACGTCCTCGAGTCTTTAATATTATCAAGAATGTCAAGTGTGTTCAGCAAGCCCAGGTTATCATCGAAGAAAAACACGGAAAATAAACGATTCATTGCCATTTATCTCCCTATGTAAGGGTCATTTATGATGTATGTGGTGCCAGAAAACATCAGATACAAATCCTAGTTATCCTCTCTTTTCACGATCCTATACCAGACTAAGCAAAGATAGGTAAATATATTTTGCTAACTACTGGGTAGAGTTGATTTGCAAATTATAATTAAACAAATTTTGTGAGTTCTAATCGCATAACAATCATAAAAAAAAAAAAAATTTTAAGCGTAAAAACCAGGCATATAGTGGTTTAATAAGTGAAGCTTAGATGTGGCACAAGGTCGAATGTATGGAGCACCTAGTGAGGATCGAACTTACTACTCCGTAATTGGTATGTCGAAGCGAGATTGCTAACCATTACCCCACTTCGAAGTGCTTAAACAAGATATAACCAACAGTCATAACTGGAAGGAAATTTAGCTAAACACAATATCAAAAACATTTTTAAAGTAATCTATTCAAAATAACGAACTCACATCAGTAGGTGTTTGTAAATGAGAACCTAACGATGCTCTTAAAATATATTTTTGAAACATCCTGAAATTAAAAGAAAATATATATATATATATATATATAATATCAAAGAGAATTAAAGTTAAACATAATATTCAATGCACTAGTGTGCTTTCAAAAAACATGTCTGGTCATAATTCTGACCTGCAATGTGAATTTTTTTAATAGAAAGGAAATATAAATTAATTTGACGAAGATTCAGTGAAAGTGCTATGATTTATTTGTCATCTAAGATTAATATAAAACTGGCTTATTTTAATATATCTCCATTCTTTACTCAATGCCGAGACAGTGGGAGATAAAAAAAAAACAGCTAAAAATAATCAAAATCGAATTTCTATAAAGATACAATTAAATTTAAATACTTGCGTTTAGACAGCATAAATCACGTTTCGCTTAAGTAATGTGAAATTATTTTTCTGGTGACGTCAAATGATTAACTTCAAATTATTTCTTTTTTTTTTTTTTAATTATATATTTTCTATTAAGTCAGATTTCATCCTATTTTATTTAATGACGCAGTTGCGGGCAGTTATTCTGTCTTTTCTTAAGTTATTGGTAATTTAAACTTGTCTATAAAATCTGCCAAAAACTTGGTTTACATTTGTGAGTATTTTTGAAATCATTGTCTAGCATGACGTCCGCGGAAATAGTAAAAACGTTTATGCCAGATAGGAAAGGAACTTAAAAAGGAAAAAAAAACAAAAAAAAACTAATGATTAATTTCAAAAAGATAGAAGACACGATGATGGTAATATTAGTCTTTTTCGTTGTAAGGAAACCTAAATTCATCGAGCTAGCAGCTAGTTGTGCTTTCGGTTGAAAGTTATCAAATCTTTAGATTGAAAAGATTATGCAGAAAAATAGGTTTCTCAAGACCAGTAACTGCTATCTCTTTCTCTCCTACCGATGAGATATTCTTGCCGAACAATTCCTTTGAATTAGTAGTGGAACGTCAATACCTTCATTGTCATTATTTTTTTATTTCGAGTTGCTATTGCTATCCATTTTAATTGTTCCTGCTGGTGAAAGTCATTAAGTGATTTTGTTTCTGTTATTTGGTACAATTATTTGTTTGCGATCTAATGCGTTTTCAGTGCGAAAGAACTAGTTCCTTCCTTCCTGGTTGTATCACTATGTGTCTCTAAATCTTGTAATATCCGTCCTGGGTATGACGATAAACTGCATCCGCGTCCTGGGTAAGACGATAAACTACATCTAACAGCAAGGCCTCTGATCAGGAGGTTTTGAGGAGCGTTGAACCACCTCTTAATTGCTGGTGTTCCTAGCTCTACCCTGACCCGCGGTGGGAGCGCCTGTTAGGGTCCCAGCTATGGGCAAATAGTTGACCCCACAACCTGACTATGAAAATGTAAAAATAGATTTTAATACCAGAAATACTTTGTAAAAAAAAAAAAAAAAGAAAATAGTATCAGCAATAAATTTTTGAAAAAAAGATTTTATCAGCAATAAAAATCTAGTCAGCATTAAATAACCCATTGAGGTTAATATGCCACAAAACAAGAAACGAACCAAACTATACATTTTTGGGGAAAAAAAATTACCAGCTATACATGTTTTTGAAAAAAAAAAAAAAAATTACCAGCTATACATGTTTTTGAAAAAAAAAAAAAAATTACCAGCTATACATGTTTTTTAAAAAAAAAAAAATTACCAGCTATACATGTTTTTGAAAAAAAAAAAAAATTACCAGCTTTTTCATGTTTTTGAAAAAAAAAAAATTACCAGCTATACATGTTTTTTAAAAAAAAAAAAAAAATTACCAGCTATACATGTTTTTAAAAAAAAAAAAAAAATTACCAGCTATACATGTTTTTTTTAAAAAAAAAAAATACCAGCTATACATTTTTTTTAAAAAAAAAAAAATTACTAGCTATACATGTTTTTTAAAAAAAAAAAATTACTAATATACATGTTTTTTTTAAAAAAAAAAAAATTAGCAACTATACATGTTTTTTAAAAAAAAAAAAAATTACCAGCTATACATTTTTTTGAAAAAAAAATTACCAGCTATATATGTTTTTAAAAAAAAAAAAAAAATTACCAGCTTTTTCATGTTTTTTAAAAAAAAAAAATTACCAGCTATACATGTTTTATTTATTGGGGTGGGGGAGGGAATTTTTTCAGCTTTAAATAACCCATTGTAGTTGATATTTCCTAAAACAAAGGAAACCAAACTGATTTCTTACAAAAAACACATTTTATTTATACGAACCTATCCCAAAAATCTTGGCGGCATTAAATAACCCATTGAAGTTGATATGCCGTAAAACAAAATAAACAAAAAAGAAAAAAAAAACCCACAAATCTTGCAATGTATTAAATTTAGCCTTGTCTGACATAAGGTTACTAATGTGAGATATTAAGGATGAAGAGCACGACAGTCGGAACAGTCGGTGACAATCATGTGAAACATTCTTTCTCGGTGAAGTGTTCCTCAATAAAATATGAATTAAACTTGAACGTGGCTTACACTGGTTCTCGTATGACCACCGAGGTCAAGTAACGTTGAACCAGGCCAGTATGTAGATGAGTGACAGCTCTGGCATATCAGGTGCAATTAGTGTAATGGATAACGATTTAGAATGAGAACTCTGAGATCCTAATTCGAATTCCAGTCTGGTTCGTTATATTCACTTAGGCAATGTATAAATCCATCTCTTCTTCCCCAGCTACTAGGATTTGTATTTCAAAATTATTTTCAAAAATTCTTAAGCTCCTAAAATATTTCGGCATTTAAAAAAAAAAAAAAAAAAAAACGTAAACAGAAATAAAAATTGAAGGGGAGGCGGGGAACTAGAATGTTTCATTAAAAAATTATGCAGCTCAAACTTCATTCATTTAAATTTAATTCGCTCTTTTATAGTTCTGTCACTCTTGTAAAATATTTGATATGAACAAAAGTACTGTAAATTTTAGCGGCTGCCACTCTACATCGAGATGTGCAGATAGGGTGATGAATATAGTCATAGAGTGGAATGGGCGAACTGAATTAAAATTCCCGCCAATATTTCTCGGAAAATACAATGTTTCTCATCTCAGCAGTTTAACCGAGTCGACAAGACTCTGTAATCTTAGGTGGCAACCAGTCTAAAAGAAGCCAAACTCTGAAATCCAAACATTGGAAAGGACATCGCCAAACCTAACTTTTATGTTTCCGAAGAATACATTGCAATTGATACATAATAAAAAGAATTTGTGAACTAGAGATAGCTGGAATGTGGTTCTACAGAGGTAAACTGAAAATTCCATGGACGGAGCGAGTAAGCAACTAGAAAATCTTAAAGGAAATTTCAAGCGAAAAGAGCACATATACTCAGAATGATGAAAATACAGCTGAAATTCCTTGGACACAATACAGAAGAAGGGTTTAGAAAACCTAACCCCCACAGTTAAAAAGCCTCCATTCTTTGGTTTCTCTTGCGAAAATCCTTTGCTTGATCATTTCATTCGAAAGCAATTCAAGCCTGGTTAGGAAAAAAAAATTGTCCCATTCACACTCTTATCTCGCCGAAACTGGTTGATTAAACAGACTTTCCGATTCAATGATCAAATGTGCATTTTAGCTGATTCCTATCCTTCGATATTTAGCCTGTAATTTTATCGACTTGGATTGAGTCTTTTCAGAAAACAATGAAGACAGTTTTCTGAAAGGAGAAGTGGCACTACCTCTTAAAATCTTTTCAGAATTTTTAGATTGATTTGTTTAATATTTGCTCCATTTTTATGACCTATCTATTTATTTTATAATAAAATGATTTCTATTCTGTGATTTTGAGAGGAGAATGCACAACTTTATATATATATATATATATATATATATATAAAATTAACTGCTATGGGAGCTTTTAAGAAAAATAAGCAGTCATAATGTTAATATTATGTTTCCTTATAAGGATACATTTGCTATTCATTGACTGAGTAGTCAGTACGACTATCGGCTGAAATTTATAAAATCATTCTCATAAAACATTTTTTCTCAAATCCAGTAGATGTTATAGCTCTTTCTAGTGATGGTTTATTTCCTAACTATTTCTGAAGTCGTGCAGAATGTCAACATCTTGATTATGTCATTTTTGTTTCTGAGACTTACATGTACTATACATTCTAGCTGTTGAAAATCCTCAAGAGAAATAGTTTCTGTTACTTGGTACAGTTTTTGATTCTGTACACCAGACCACAAGTTTTGAGGATGTGTGGTCTGTATACAACCTCTTTCTGTTTAAATATTTCTGCATTAGCTTTGCGCCTGTGTAAATAATAATAATAAAAACGAGATGAAATGACTTATAGTAAAAGCATTGTTTATTGAACTCCAAACATCGTCAGTTAATATCGGCTAGTGGGTGTGTGTCTTTGTGTTTTGTCTGAACGTGGATTCTTCTCGCGACGATGTGAGAGATCGTTTCATTTACCACTAGGGTGGAGCGTTTATATATCTATCATCAGGTTTTTCCACGTGTGCACATCA